TCTCTCTCTCTCTCTCTCTCTCTCTCTCTCTCTCTCTCTCCCTCCCTCCCTCCCTCCCTCCCTCCCTCCCTCTCTCAAATCACCCTTCCTTGTTCAGTAAAGGAATGTGCAATGTTCAGGAGAGGATTAAGATGTAAAAAGGTTGAAACCTTGTTTTCTTTTGTGGAACTTGTACTGAGGACTACAGCTTCTGCCTCTATTCTTTCGAGACCTACTACTGTCTGTGTGAGCTGACACTGACCAAGGCCCACACCCCACTGCTGCTCCTGTCTGTGTGAGCTGACACTGACCAATGCTCACACCCCCAGTACTGCTCCTCCTCTCTGCTACCTTCTTCATGTCTTTCCAGGTCTAGTTCCGCCTTCAGTAAGCTCTGGTCAGCAGAAGGTTGGGATGGGAGGTCCTGAGAGGCCAGGAGGTTCATGGGAGATATATGGCTCTACACATTTCTGACAGCTAGGATGGACAAGAGTTTTGTTGCATGAGAAAGAACCCCGAGCCTGGACTCAGGAGAGCTGTGTTGTTGTTGCTTCGAACTTTGTCTTTTGACTTTGCCCTGAGAATTAAATAAATTTCTGCATTGGGCCTCAGTCTACTCTATGTGTACTGACACATGGTGTATAAAAAGCTGTAGTCGTCACTGTACCTGTCAGAGTCATCCCTTCAGAGTTGCATAGGAGCGCTCTGAGCTCTTGAGTTTTTGCTTTCGCTGCACAAAGGACAAATGAGGTTTCTGTGGTGCAGAGCTGGGTGTTTAGGATGCTGGGGATGTAACTCTGTGTGTGTGTGTGTGTGTGTGTGTGTGTGTGTGTGTGTGTGTGTGTCAGAGNAGAAGGGGAAAGAAGAGAGAAGAGAGGGAGGAGAGAGAGAGAGAAACACACAAGAGAGAGAGAGAGAGAGAGAGAGAGAGAGAGAGAGAGAGAGAGAGAGAGAGAGAGAGAGAGAGAGAGAACGAACATGTGAGTATCTGTGTGGGTACACAGGCACCATAGCATTCAGGGAGATGTTAGAGGACTACTTTCAGGAGCTGACATTCTTTTTCCACGGTGGCTTTCAGGGATCAAACTCAGGTCATTTACTAGCCTGACAAGCATTTTACCCACAGAGCTTCACCCCAACTTTGTTGAAATTGCTATTTGTTTAGCACTCAGATTATTGAACATCAAACAGAACAAAACAGAATTTGCAGCATCATCCTTAAGTGTGATATAACTGGAAGGTTTTTAAAATATTATGTGTGGCTAGCGTTATGGATCAGAGGTTAAGAGCACTGGTTGCTCTACCAGAGGACCAGAATTTGATTTCCGGCACCCAGTTGGCAGCTCACAGCTCTCTGTGACTTCAGTCTCAGATTTTATGCCTTCTTCTGACCTCTAGGGGGCAATGCACACAGAGTCCCCAGGGAGCCTGAGGCACTGTGGCTAGCATGGATCATTTTGACCTTTCCATTTATAGATAAAACTGATCTCCCTGTTGTCTGGGTTTCTGTCCTGCCACCAGGTCCCACAGCCATTTAGCCCCAAAGAAATCACACAGAGCTCTATATTAATGATAAACTGGCCCATTAGCTCAGGCTTCTTATTAACTCTTATAACTTATATTAACCAATTATTTGTCTGTATGTTAGCCACATGGCTCGGTACCTTTTTCAGCGGGGTAATCACATCTTCCTTCTTCTGTGGTTGGGACAGGACTGGGGAGGAATGGGCTTCCTCCTTCCCAGAATTCTCCTGTTCTCATTGACCCGCCTCTACTTTCTGTCTGGTTGTGCCACCTATACTTCCTGCCTGGCTACAGGCCAGTCAGCGTTTATTTAAAACATAATTGGCAGACAATAGACAATTGTCCCACACCATCTCCCAAAAACTCTGGCTAAATACGCTTGTCTACATCTGCTGGGAAGAGCGAGCACTCACTAGCAGAAGCTTGTGTCAGTACAACTCTGGGAAGTGGGTGGTGCTCTAAGTGATCATATAGGATGACATAATGTCCACAGTCATTCCACTTTCATGAAGACGCAAACTAAAACCTGGGCATTGGGGGGAGGGAACTGCATCCTTCTAGGTCCAGGTCTCACCCACATCTCCTTCTCCTGTCTCCTGATTGGCTTCAGCCAGTGAGTGACAGCAGATGCTCAGTGTCATGCACACGTCTCTCTCTAGGTTTCACTGGAGGTGTGAACATCACTACTCCAGAGCAGACAGTTCAGGAAGCCCAAGGGGAAACTGCGCACCTGCCCTGCATGTTCACCCTTAGCCCCGAGGACCAAGGACCACTGTTCATTGACTGGATGCTGCTCACTGGACCTGAAAATGAGGTGGTGAATCGTATGGTGAGTGTGCCCTGTGCCTGCTCAGTCTCACTAGGCAGGCGTGGTATTGTGGCTGGAAGGCCCACTGCCCAGGCTTATGAACATAGAATGACTGGAGATTTCAGAAGAGGAGAGGGCCATCAGATTCCTTGAACACATCAGGGACAAGAAGATGTTGTGGAAGTTCTGAGAATGTGGACTTGAACGTTGGTGACAGGAGGCAAAGAAAAAGGGGTGTACCGAGCGGGCCGGGCAGCAAGGGTGTGTGTGTGTGTGTGTGTGTGTGTGTGTGTGTGTGCACGCGCGCGGAGTGTGTGTGACAGAGTCACTAGGCTCTGTCAGAAGTCAGAGTCTATGTCTGTTATTTTTGTCGTCCTCAAGCTTTAGTGCCCTTAGTCACCAGAACTACAGGTATGGCCCATCATGCCTGGTTTCTAAATCACAATAAGACAAAAAGCAATTTGTCGTTTTTAGTTACATTTCATAGGCAAACTATGGCAGCTTTCTTGGGTTGGGAGACAAAGGGTGGCCTGTTCTTGATTTTTCTTGGTTTTCTTTACTACACCTTCAGAGGCAGCTGGGAAATAAGCGCATACCAGAAAGAACAAGTGTATGGTCCTGTCCAGTGTTACCAAACCCTTATTTAGTACTGGGCTGTGTTATTTAATCATAATGAATGTTATTTAACCACACTGGGCTCAGGGGTTTCCATTTATAATGGGAATATAGAAGCCAAAGATTTGGCTCAGTACTTAGGAGCACTGGCTACTCTTCTAGAGGACCTGGTCTCAGTTCCCAGCATCAACATGGCAGCTCATGCCTGTCTGTTACTTCAGTTCCAGGTGACCCAGTACTCTCTTCTGGCCTCTGAGTGCTGATGGTATAGAATATTATTTTAGCTGGGCAAAGAAGTGTTACATTTGTTTATGCTGCAGAATATTACCTTAGCTATTGCTTTTGTTTATGCTGCATTTGTTTTAACGATGTGAAGCTGTGTGTGTTTAACGATGTGAAGCTGTGTGTGTTTAACGATGTGAAGCTGTGTGTGTTTAACGATGTGAAGCTGTGTGTTTAATGATGTAAACAGGTGTTGCATTTGTTTCGCTTTGCCTGCCTAAGGCACCTGATTGGTCTAGTAAAGACTGAAAGGCCAATAGCAAAACAGGAAAAAGGATAGGTGGGGCTGGCAGGCAGAGAGAATAAATAGGAGAAATCTAGGCGTGGAAGGAGAAGGGGAAGAACAAGAGAAGAAGAGAATGAGGAACTAGCCGGGGGCACAAAACCAGCCAGACACAGAGAAGCAGTGAAAGTAGAATATACAGAAGTAAGAAGGGTAATAAGTCCCAAGGCAAAAAGTATACAAAGAAGAACAGGTTAATTTAATTTAAAAGAGCTGGCCAGAAACGAGCCTAAGCTAGGCCGAGCATTCAAAACTAAAAATAAGGGACTGGAGAGATGGCTCAGAGGTTAAGAGCACTGGTTGCTCTCCCAGACGTCCTGAGTTCATTTCCCAGGAACCACATGGTGACTGACAACCATCTATGATGAGGTCTGATGCCCTCTTCTGGCCTGCAGGCATACATGCAGACAGAACACTGTATACACAATAAATAGATATAAAAAAAAAAAAACTAAAAATAAGTCTCTGCGTCATGATGTGGGAGCTGGTTGATGGCCCAAAAGAAAAAAGCCCAGTACATGCTGGGAGTATAGGTGAGTGCTACCACACCTGGCTCAACCCAAATACAATTTAAAATAATAAAAAAGCTTAAATAGGGTTGTGGAGCAACACCCCAGGCCACACTGGCCCATTTCTAGTTCCTCATTCTGTTTTTAAGTACTGTAGGTTTCCTTGTAATGTGTTCCTTTCTCTTTTTCCTTTCTTCCTTCCTTTCTCTCCTTCCTGTGTATGTAATGAAGTACATGTGTGTGCAGATGCATGTATACATGTGTGAGCTTGCATGTGGAAGCCAGAGGTGGAGGTCAGGTGTCATCTGCTCCCTGTCCATCATGTGTTTTAGCTATGATCTCTCACTGAGACTGGAGCTCACCGACGGCTAGACTGACTAGCCACAGGTGCCCAGGCTTTGCCCACAACCCTGCCTCTAGGGGCAGGATTACAGAAATGTGAAATCGTGTCTGGCTCTTACACTGGCGCTGGATTCCTAACTCAGGTTCTTGTGCTTGTCCATCACTTTCCTTACTGAGCCTCCTCTCTGGTTCTCTTTACTTTCTCTCGTTTATCTCTCATTTCTATTTCATTTTTAAATTCTGTGATAACATGGCATAGACAGGCTCTAACAAAAGATTTTTTAAGATTTATTTTTTATTTCATGTGAGTCTTTTTGTTTTTATGTCCATCTGTGTACCGTGTGCATGCCCAGTGCCAGTGGAGGCCAGAGTGGCTGTTTAATCCCAGGGATGTGAAGTTACAGGCCACTGGGACCTGCCATGTGGGTGCTAAGCCCCAATCCGGGGTCCTCTCTGGACACGCGTCAACCCCTGAGCCATTTCCTCAGCCTATGTTTGTTTTTTTCTTATGTTTTGGTTTTCTTTTAGTTTATTGCAAGTTTAGCAGGCAAAATTTACGATGGCTTCTATCAAAATATGAAAGGGCGTGTGAAGTTTACCGGTAATGATCTCTGGTCTGGTGATGCATCTATAAATATAACCAATGTTCAGCGCTCTGACGCTGGCACCTACCAGTGTGAAGTGCTCCATGGCGCCGGTGCTGCTAAGAGGGCCATTCAGCTGACAGTTGTCGGTAAGTTCCTGTTGTCGGTAGAATGATGGCTCACTGACAGGGTGAGAGGTCACGGTACTAAAATCAAGCATTCATGTAAGACAAACTTATCTTTTCCAATAATTGTATTTACTCATTTTTGACAGGATAGGAGTGGAGCATGCCTCGTGCTTCCTATGAAAGAGCTCTGTGACTGTACCACAGCCCTGGCCCTAGAATTGTAAGTAAGCTTTTGAAGTATTTCTAATGTCCTCACATATCTTAAAACATAAAGCTACCACATTTTTAGATAAGAAAAATAAGAATCAATGAACTCCTTTACTGTTAAGAATATTTCCTAACGTGAGCTCTCTGCCGACACCAAAAAATCCCAATCAAGTCAAATCACAACAAGCTGAATTAAAGGATATCCAGGTTTAATGGGATTTCTGTGCTCTTGGGTGCCCCCCACCCACGAGGGAAACCACCAATAGGACCAGGGGGCTGGCGGGGGGTGGAGGGGGACAGGGGACGGACATGGGACTGCGAAGGGACTCTCTGGGGAGCAGTTTAAATAGACTAGGGGAGGGGCCAAGGCTTGGCAGGCTGCCTGGACACTTCTCTGAGGAGGGGTCAAGGTTTGGCGGGCACAAGGGCGGGGCCTCCAAAGACAGGGGACTCACATTTATGATTTCCAAAACTGTTGTTTGAGAAAGAACGCTGAGCCTGGACTCAGGAAAGCTGCATTGGTTTTTTTTTTTTTTTTTTTCGAGACAGGGTTTCTCTGTGGCTTTGGAGCCTGTCCTGGAACTAGCTCTTGTAGACCAGGCTGGCCTCGAACTCACAGAGATCCGCCTGCCTCTGCCTCCCTCTGCTGGGATTAAAGGCGTGCGCCACGCCACCATCGTCCGGGGGAAAGCTGCATTGTTGTCTGTTGTTGTTGTTTTACTCTTTGGAGGTCCGCCACCCAGCTCCCAGATAAATCACACACAGAGGCTTATTCTTACTTATGAATCCCTGGTCTTAGCCTGACTTAAATCTAGCCAGCTTTTCTTAATTTATCCCATCTACCTTTTGCCTCTGGACTTTTTTCCTTTTCTTCTGTATGTCTCACGTTCTCCTTACTCATGGCTGCCCCCTAGTGTCCTCTTCTTGTTCTCTTGCTGCTTGATGATATCTTGTCCCAGATTTCCCCTCATATTTATTTTCTCTTCCTGCCAGCCCTGCCTACCCATTCTCCTGTCTTGCTATTGGCCTTTTAGCTCTTTATTAAACCAGTCGGGTGTTTTAGGCAGGCAAAGTAACACAGCTTCACAGAGTTAGACAAATGCAACATAAAAGAAGGCAACACATCTGTACATCATTAAACAAATGTTCCATAGCATAAACGAATGTAACACTTCTTAAGTCACATTGTCATTTTGGATCTAGTCCTCTAAGTTTTCTCTGAGAATTAAATACATTTCTACATTTCCTTTGGCCTCCGTCTATACACTATGCGTATTGGAACATGGTGTTAAACATAAAAAGCTTCAATCGTCACTGTAGGGTGTCAGAGTCGCCCTTCAGGGCTGCACGGGAGCGCTCTGAGCTCTTGCATTCGTTGCATAAAGACAGATGAGGTTTCTGTGGTGCAGAGCTGGGTGTTTAGATGCTGGGGATGGAACAGAGGAGAAAGCTGATGGAGAAGCCAGTCCACATCAGGCAGTGACGTCACATTCCTGGTATCACTGTTTTCGTCCTTAAAGTGGGTGACAAGACAGGCTGGGAGGTGGGGAAGTTCTCTCGCGGATGGTCAAGAGGACAAGGGAACTCCTGTGATTGTCGGGCTGCAAAGTTTCTTTTCTTTCTGTGGATCATGGGGTAATGTGCCCAATATCGATCCCCTCACGTTCAGAAGTCAAAAAGGTGATAGGTGCATTACACGTAAGCCCCTTACTGTATAGGCTTCATATGGGTGGGTGGTGGCTAGTCTTCCATTAGGGCAGCAAGCTCTTGTTCTGCGACCCAAGGTCTCTTGTTTTAGAAGATGCTTGGGCACATATTTTGTAGGTATTTCTGATTGTCTGGTACAACCCTAGAAGTAAACAGTCAAGGCCCCTCCCCACATACACACAAGCCAACTGTTCCTTGTTCCTTCTATCTGATGGACTCATCAAAGGGACAGGTGAAGAAGGGTCGCATGCGGGAGTCAGAGTCGCGTGAACACTGCTGTCCTCTAGAGCAGGAATATCAGCGCAGAGACCTGTTTGTGCTTTCTAATAAGGACAGCAGATTCTTTAAAATACTTTGATTTCTTCATTTTATGCATTTCCCCCTTGTGTAGGTATGTCTGCACCACAGACATACTTGTTCCCTCAGAGGTCAGAAGAGGGTGTCGGAACCCCTGCATCTAGAGTTATGGTTATGAGCCACTATATGGGTCCGGGGATTCAAACTGAGTCCTTCCTGGGGCAACAAATGCTCTTAGCCACTGAGCCATTTCTTACGCTTCAAGGATAGCATGTACTCTTAACTGTACCACTGGTTTCTTTTTTAAGGGTCCCCTGGCTGACCTTGAAGTTGGGCTCCTTATGCCTCACCTCCCAACCTTATGCCTCACCTCCCAAGTCTTCGAATTGCATATTTGTATCTGTAAATGGTTTGCATTGTTGAGGTTTTTAAGATATTTCTAATTTTTATTGCATATGTAAATCATACCTATTTAGGCAAGTTGCTTTTCCCTAAGCGAATGCCTTTCTTTTCAGGCTAATCATCTTCCCCAGAGATCACATCAATTGAACTTTTAATTAAGTTTTGCCAAGTATTTGATCCTGTGAATCTCACGAAATGTGCCTTGCACTCCTGCGCTCCTTCAACCTCGAAAGAACCCTTTGTGACAATAAACCAGTGTCTCGTAATTCTGTTCGACTCTCTGTCTTCAATTCACCCTGTGTTCTAATGTTAGAGAACCCAGCACCAATATATCAGTTGATGAAAACAAATATGATTTGAATTCTGAGCTCTGGAAAAAGAATCTAAGTCCTTCAAATAAACAATATTGCTTTAGCTCCATTCCGTGCTCTCTGGAGGACAGGTGTAAACACCGGCAGTTTGCTTACTGTCTTGCTCTGTCCTTTATTACAGCCGTGGCTCTCCAGTACTGGGCTCCTGTAATTCAGCTCTGGAAGCGCCTCCCCCAGGGTGCGGAAGGTTTCACACTAATATTTTGCTTTATTGGTGTGCACGTGCATGCATGTTCTTCACTCACGCTCCACTCCATTTTGTTGAGTTGGGGTCTGTCACCTGAGCCCGGAGATCACAGATTTGCTGGGCTTTCCCAGGCTGGGGTTCAGCTCATAGCCCCCACTTTGGCTGGCTCACAACTGCCTGCAGTGCTAGCTCTGGGGCATCCAGGGCCCTTTTCTGGCTTCCGAGGGGGCCCATACAGATGCACAATGCACACACACACAGATACATTTCTTGGAGACAGTAAAAAAAAAAATGAATCTTGCTTTCTAATCCAATCCGTTAGTCTGTGTCTCATTATTGGGTAGGTAATTGAGATGGTAAGTTACAGTTCAAAGACATGCATTAATTTCTATCACTCTGTTACATTTTCTTAAATCTTTTGACTGGTTGTTCTTAAACTGTTTATAAATTCCTGTGTTCTCTTGCTGGTTTTCATCCTTTTGTAGATCCAAGTGTTTGTCCCAGTGTCCTCTTCAGAGGTGGCTCAGTGCTCACACATTCCTTGCGTCGGCTGTTGTGACGATTGTTCTGTCCTTCTAGTACAGCTGATAGTGTTGTGGGGTCCAGGAGTCTCGGCTGGCATCTGAGGTCATCAGTCCAAGCCCTTCTGGCCTTTAAAATCGTCACTGAGAAGTCGGTTGTTCTCACAGGCTTGCTTTTATAGGTGGCTTGTTTCTCTCTTGAAGCTTTCAGTGTCCTGTCTTGTTCTGTACGTCAGAGTTTTACTATATGGCATGGGGGATTTCTTTTCTGGCCCTGTCTAACTGGTGTTATGCACATGCATGGCACCCTGGTAGCCATTTCTCTTTTCTTATATTTGGGGGGGGGGGCTTTCTTCTATTATGATTTTGTTGAAAACATGTTTGTGCCTTTGACTTGGGTTTCTTCTTCTCTGTGATTCAGTTTCTGTTATCTTACACTGTCTGGGAGTTCCTGCATGTTCTGTTCATGGGTTTGGTTTTATTTATTTTTTTTTTAGATTTAACATTTTCCTCAACTTAGTTATCCAGAAACACCTCTGCCTTGTCTTTAAGCTATGATATTCTCTTTCCCATGCCATCTATTTGATTTACTGAATTTTTGATTCTGAGTTTTATTTCATTTGGGCTTTTCTTCAGAAATTCTCTTCATTCAGTTCAATCTTCATATGTTGAATTGCTTCCTTTATTTCATTCAACTATTTTCTGTCTTCATTCTGGCATTCATTCATATTCTTTCTGAGTTCCTTCAAAATATTTATACAGCTATTTTGAAATTGGTTTTTTTTTTCGTCATTAATTTGCTTTTCTCAGGGAATATGAGAATACACTTTCGGAGATGTTTTATCTTAGTCATTCATATTGTGTTTTGTGGTAGTACCTTAATCTGGAGATTTGGTTTTTGGTTGCGTTTGATACATTGTCTGTTCCGTCCTTGTTGAGCGGGCACTTGAATTGGTTTGGCTCTCACCTAACTTGTCAAGTTGTTATGGGCCAGCAGAATGGTGCTTGGGGTTCTGACTGGGGGCCGCTCAGTGTTTATGTCTAAATGGGGTGCAAATGTAGGGTCCATCCTCTCCTGCACCTAGGTCTCCAAATGCCTGTCCAACATCAAACAAGAGACCTGGTCTCAAACCAAGTGGAAGGTGAGTGAGAGGCCCAGGCCCCCAGATTCAGTAAGTCCATAGCCCTAGCACAACCCCCAAGCAGCTTGGCTCCAGGTTCAGAGCCAGGGAAAGAAATACACCCTGAAAACGGGACCAGAGCCGGGGAAGAGACAGTTTGTCCCCAAACCTAGAGCCGGAGAAAAGTCCCCGGACCCTGAAACTAGGACCAAAAGAACTCACTAAGTCCCTAGATTCAGGACATACCAAAGATAGTTGCCTTGGCCCCCAAATTAAGTTTAAAAAGGTAGAAAGAACCAGAGAAAGAAACACAGTTTACCCCAGAAATGGTGCCATCTGCCCCTGACTTGAAACCAGCCAATCCCTGAACAGGGAAAACAGACCAATCAGAGCCTCAGGCAGTAACTGACAGTTGGGAATTACCCTTACATCATTGGACGGCGGCAGTCAATCAGAAGCTTGGAAGTCTGGAATTCCCCTCACCACTAGGGGGCAGCCAATCACAAGCGCCGGGGCTTGGAATTCCCCAAGCCTCTGCCCCTATATAAACCTGTTTTCTGCTCTGGGTCTCTCCTGTGCTGCTTCAGATGGGCGCAGGGACCCAAGTTAACTAGTGAATAAAGACTCTGTTTCTACATAGGAGTCGGTCTTGTGGTGTAACAGTGGGGACCACACCTGAGGTTGTCTTCTGACCTTCAGATGTGGGCACAGTGGGTGCCAGGCATGAAAGACTTACAAAGAGCAGGGAGGCAAACCACGGGAGGGCAGTGCTCTGCGGGTCTATTCAGAGAGGCGCCTGTGCAGTGCTGTAGACAGAAGTGGTACTCTCTTCTGATGGACACAGTCCATGTAACTGAGATTTCTTTTTCTCTTTATTTCCTCCCATATACAAATGAAAATAAAGTCACCTCTTTATAAACCCACATTCTAAATTCAGTTTTTAAAAAATTAACTTTGTGGGTATGGATTTGGGCTCACGTGCCACAGAGCACACATCCAAGCACAACTTCGAGGAATCAGTTCTCCCTTCTGCCATGGTCCTGGGGACTGGACACAGGTCACTGGGCTGGTGGCAGGCACCTTCCTATTGAACCATCTCTTTTCTTCTCTTTCTTTTCTGAGACAAGGTTTTCACAATGCAGCCCTGGCTGGCCTGGAATTTGCTATCTTACGATGTGGCCCGCAAAATACAGAAACCAGCCTGCCTCTGCCTCCCAAGTATATTGAAATTAAAAACATATACCACCACACCCAGATAAATGGAAATCTTTTCATTTTTGAGTGATTTATTTTATTTTATGTATATAAGTGTTTTGTCTGAAGGTATGTATGTTCACCAGATGCACATCTGATAATCCTTGGAGGCCAAAATAGGGTATTAGATCACCAAGGACTGGAATTTACAGATGGTTGTGAGCTACCGTGTGGATACTGGGATTGGAACCCAGGTCCTCCTCAAGAGGGCACCATGAACTCCTAACTGCTAAACCATCTCTCTAGCACCTAAATTAAATTCTTATATGACATTATCCGATTTTTTTTTCATGTTTTCAGACAGAAAATGCTTCTTGTTTTCTCTGGTTACACAAATTGCATGATTATGAACCAGCTGCTTCAAATACAGGCCAACCTATCTGCGCATGGGAGACATGAAAACAAACCCACTGTAGGACACAGCCAGCAGCACCATTTTATTTTACAGTGTTTGCTGTAGTCAAGGTTACTGTGGTGAGATGTTAGTGGTTTGGGTCCATATTTTATTTTCCATTTGAATTAGAAACACATTAGTTAAAAAATAAATTTTTATGATTCCATTTTTCTTGACCATTGGAATATTACAGTTTCAAGTAACAAAAGATAAAAATAAAAACATCGCAGATTAAATCTACAGATATGTACAGCGTGAACACATTTAATTACCATGGTAAGTCCTGACGTCAGCTCTTCAGCCCAGAACTCATTCAGAAGCAGTCACTGAGAGACCTCTGGGATCTCCCTGTTGTCCACAATGAGTGTGTGGATGATCCCTTCTCTTCTCTTCCCGCTGCTGACGGCTTTTATGTAACAATCGTGGTTCCCAATACTGAAGTGTGTCTCAGTCCCATCGTCTACAAACTCGCCCTACGACAGCAAGGGAGGAAGCATCAGTGTCCAGAAATAGTTGTCAGAGCACTGACATCATCTAAAAAGTACCGGTCGTAATGTCAAACTTTGAAATCAGAGCCCAAAGATTATGTTTAGAGCCCTGTGATTTGCTGTAATTTTCAAAATCTCGAGGGATCTTCAAGTTTCAGGAGAAGAAAGTTCTGTGTCTGCAGTGTGGACAATGTTTACAGAACTAAGAACGGTGAGCGTGTGAAAAGATTCTCAGTTACATGCACTATCCTGGCATAGGGGCATCGTGTCACTGCCGTCACAAGAGCTGCCATAAGTGATATTATTATCCTCATTTTACAGATACAGAAACTGAAGAGCAGCAGATTTAATAACTTGCTGAAAGCCTGTCCAGTAAGACAGAAGAGTTCCCACCAGAGCTCAGGAGACAGGCAGAGACAGGCGACTTCTCCAGGCGTATGGTTAGCACACACTCAGTGTAACCAACAGCTCTGATCACGGAGCACCACAGCCTTGACTAGTCTGAATAAGACACACAGTTTGAGTGTGAACTATAAGGAGACTTAGCAAGAAACAATGTGAAGAACTAGTGACTATTTTCTTTTTTTTTTTTTTTTTTGAGACAGGGTCTCTCTGCATAGCCCTGGCTCCCCAAAACTCACTATGTATCAGGCTGTCCCAGAACTCACAGCGAGCCACCTGTCTCTGCCTGCCTCCTGAGTTCTGGGATTAAAGGCATGTGCCACCATACATGTCTTTATGACATTTTTGATATACTGATTTAAATTAAACATTAAAGTTAACCCACCTTAAATTTCCTTAGTGCTGCTACTAGAAGGTAATAATCTAGAGTGAAAACATAGGAACTAAGAGGGCAGAAAAGAACTGTGCCAGAAATCGCTCAGTCAGACTTAAAACCTGCATGCATGGTCTGGGACTGTAACTAAGGCCAGAGGCCCTGCTTAGCATGTGATGTCCCAGTTCCTTACAGCACAGCACATCTGAGCATTACAGAGGTGGGCAGAGCAAGAAGCCTGGAGTCCACACTCTAAGCAGCAGCAAGTATAGGGACATAGAGAAAGTTCTTTCCAAGCTCTGGGCAGCCCCAGCAGGTGGTCTTTAGAGGGTGTGTACTGTAAGCCCAACCAGGCATGCCCTGGGGCACTTTGAAGAAGCCTGTGGAAGGCCACACAAAGGTTGCTAACACAGTCCCTCCAAGTTCCTTCTTGGCAATTTCACCCGTTAGTGACGATACTCAGGTGAAAACAGCACGTGCTACATGGGAGTGGGGCAGTCTGGGCATGCACGCAGATCAGGGCAGGCTGAGATAGGGACGCTGTCTGGACGCTTCTGCCGCTGTAGCTACAAGCAGGCAGCGGGGTTATAGAGGGCTGTCTGCACACTGGCTTCAAGCAGGCAGTGGGGTTATAGAGGGCTGTCTGCACACTGGCTTCAAGCAGGCAGTGGGGTTATAGAGGGCTGTCTGCACACTGGCTTCAAGCAGGCAGTGGGGTTATAGAGGGCTGTCTGCACACTGGCTTCAAGCAGGCAGTGGGGTTATAGAGGGCTGTCTGCACACTGGCTTCCTGCCAGTTACTAACAACAAGCGCATCATAGATTTTACCTTATTTAAAGTCACATGTACTTATACTGAAAACCATTATTCTGTACAAATGACATACATTAATACTTTCTAGTTTTACTACTGTTTTTTACTGTCAGTTTTTCAGAGGTGAGGACAGAACTGAGGGTCTCACACGTGTTAGCTAGATGAATGCCCTACTACTGAGCTACAACCCTAGCCTTGATTTACTGTGTTAGATTCATTTTAACAACAACAACAACAAAAACCAATTTTTTGAAACAGGTATTGTGGTGCACACCTTTGATACCATAGGCAGGTGGATCTCTGAGTCCAAGGCCAGCCTGGTCCACAGAGTGAGTTCCAGGAGAGCAGAACAGCCAGGGCTGTACAGAGAAACCTTGTCTCAAAAGAAAACAACAACAACAACAACAACCCCAAGTTTTATTTTTATGTATTTTTAAATTTTATGTGTCTGCACACTTTGCCTGCATGTATGTGCAGCGGAGGTCAGAAGAGGGCACTGGACCCCTTGGAACTGGAGTTACAGTGCGTGTGTATGAACATGCCTTTTACATGGCACTGGGAATCCTAACTCAGGCCCTTGTGCATGCCTGGCAGTTTAACTGACCCCAGCCACAGCTCTCATCCTCGCCACAGCCACACCCCTTGTCTAGAATGAGGAACTGTTAGTCACACACACTAGGAATACGTAAATGGTAACTTACTGCTGTCTCCATTTTTTGGCCATTGCACCATACATCCATAGTATCTTTCTCTGTAAAAGCAACATAAATTCCAAAAGTTATAGTTCTATATCTAAGGTTAACCTCTTTTTTTAAAAGCTGAATTCACTATATTTCTAAACTGCAATCGCTATTCTAAAACTCAATACTTTCAACATCTTTGAAACTCAAAATTTGAAGAAACTTTGTTCATACATGAAGCCAGGTTTTTGTTTTTTTTTTTTAAATCTTTTCTTTTGTTGAGATTTTTGAGAAAGGATTTCTCTGTGTAGCTCTGGCTGTCCTGAAACTCAATCGGAAGACCAGGCTGGCCTCAAACTCACAGAGTGCTGGGATTAAAGGTGTGTACCACCATGCCTACTTAGAAATCGTTTAAGAGAAAGTCACAGTCTCATCACAGCGTGATAAAAATCTTGTTAAAACAGATTCTAAAGGACAATCTTTAAAGATTCGTTTTGTCTTTACAGACAAACGAATGAGGGAATGAGGAGGACCTGGTTCCTAGGAAACTGACTAACAAATAAGACCAACATCGGAAATGTGATTTAGCCTCACTGACTAGATGACTTCTGCCTCCCGCACTGACAGAACTAACTGGATGATGGCGTAAGGACCATAGGCCGAGCAGCGATGTAGCAGGAATGGGAACTACTGTGTTATGCCTTGGTGGGCCAGGAAGCAGAGTTCAGCAGAAAGCAGGATGGCCTAGCATCTTCAAGCCCCACCCCTGCAGACATAAGTCTGCCAGTCAGACCCTTTGTTCAATAGGTTTCACAGTCTGGGCCACCAAGTAGGGACCAAGCATTCAAACACATGAGCTGTCTGGGACTTTCAAAGTCAAACCATAATACCTAAGATTCTTTTTATTTTTTTGACTTTTTAATAAGATTTTTTATTATTGTTTTTATTGAGTTATATATTTTTCTCTGCTCTCCTCCCTTTCCTGTCTGCTCCCCTTCTACCCTCTACTACCTAAGATTCTTGAGAGAAAATGTAAACTGCGAATATTACAGAGTGAAACTGACTTCCAAGTGTGCATGCGTACAAACACATACACATAAACCCCCCCCCAAAAAAAAAACCCAAAGGCTACCAGTATATAAGAACTCAAAATACTGTTCCCATGAGTCCTTCAAAAGGGGAGTTAACAGGAAAGATTCAGGCACGCACAGCGGCCAGACAAGCTGCAGCATAACCACTTAATTTATGTGTTAAGTGTGGGGTGACAAGAGGAGGGCTTATCCATGCTGACAGGTGCACAGGGCAAACTGGAGGACCATGCAGAAACTGTAGAAGGATTTGGTAATTATATTCATGAAGTAGTACTGCTAGTATTATTAAATTATTACAAATGTCTGCAATGGCAAACGCAAGTCTCAAAAAAAAAAAAAAAAACCAAACAAACAAAAAACAAACCCAGAACAGAAAAGGTCTGTCCCTATTCCTTCTGCTTTCCTTTTCCCTCTCCCCTATTACCATCCCTGTTCTCTGTTTTATATCTATCTACCTATCTGTCATCTGTCTATCATCTATCATTCATCCACCCACCCATCATCCATCCATTCATCTATCCATCCCCCTACCTATCCACCCACCCATCTAATTTCCTCGCTCTGCTCACTGAGGATTGGGGAATAATGAAATAACACTCAGAACTTCATCAGAGTATCCTCTTGACTATATTTTTTATCTAATATACATGTCTAGGCCAAAATATTCAAAATGGCTCAGGTCATCCTGAGATAAGCTGCCAAAGCCCACTAGAAATACGCCGCAAGGATTCAGGGACCACTCGAACAAGGAGTCCCTCGGTGGTTCAAAACAGCACATTTTCATGGCTCAAACCTGTTATCCAAGCATTTGGGAGGCAGAGGCAGGAGTATTAACAAAAGTTTCAAATCAGCCTGGGTGACAGTGAGCACCAGGCCAGCAGAGACAGTCTCAGAATAAACACACACGTACACAAATTCCCCTCTCCCAAAAAGGGACATTTTAAGGATTAATGAACATGGTAACTGCAACGTACTAAAGTGAAGTAAATTGTTTTATTTCTGTGTTAACAATGATTTAAAACTGGAAACAATTCAGTAGTTTGACGGCTGGAGACTGCAGGGAGTAGCAAAGCTACCCTGCACTTGTACAGGAAATGTAGGTCTGTGCAACGGGCATGTGACTGGGAGTTTCTAGTTAGACAAACGTCTAGATAGGAAGCAAAGAATGAAGGAATCCAAGAACCACAGCTGGCAACAACTGAGGGATGAATGGTCTAGGCATTAAGCATTACGTTTAATCCTGGTGTCAACTTATCTGGATCTGGAACTAACCAGAAGGTAAGCCACTGGGCACGTCGTAACGTTCCTGATCAGGTAATTGGGACGATCCAAGCTGAATGTGGGCGACACGTCCCAGTGGCAACCCCTAATGAAAAGGGTTAAAGGAAGCTCTGCCTTTCTGTCTGCCTGCCTTCACTCTACGTAAGTGCATCCACCCTGCTGCTGCATCATCCTTCACTGATAGCAGGGCCCAGCTTCAGCAGGCTTCCACTGTGGACTGAGATTCACAGAATGAACCAGGCTTCAGCCTCTCCAGTGTGGGACCGACATTAGTGGAATACCCAGACCATAGCAGATAAGCCAATCTGATAAGTCTCTCATACACACACACACACACACACACACACACACACACACACACACACACACACACGTTTACTCTATTAGATTCTGTTCCTCCAGAATCTACTAATACAGAAGAGAAAGAGAATGATAAACTGTATGCTTCAAGATACCAGCAAACTGTAAGTTGGTTTTGCCAGAAAGAAAATCCAATAAAAACTCAATCTGACAATTCTTCAGTTAGGTATCACTTTACAGAAAATATGGGAGAGTTTTACAATCCACAGGCATTCAATCAGCAAAACCCAGGTCACACCACAAGCCAAGCTGACTTTTTCTAGTAAGTAATTAATTTAGGTTCTTTTATTTTCTTCCCCCCATTTTAAGGATAGTTTTACTCTGTAGCGCAGTTAGCCTCAACCTTCTGGTTCTCCTGTCTCAGTCTCTGGAGGGTTGGTATTTCAGGTATGAGCCGCCATGCCTGGCTTTTACTTTTTTTTTTAATGTGATTTATCAGATAATAAACATTTTCTCATCTAAAAAAAATTCAAACAAAAACCCTATTTGCTAGCACCCAACTGGAATGTGGACCACTACGGCACGGTCAAAGTTCCTTCTGTCTGTGCATCCTCAATCCTTGGTAGACAGACTACCTTCCTTTTCAGAGGCAGTTAATAAACAGGACCTAAATAAATGAATTAAGATGGTTTATTAAACCATTTTAATTTCATAATATGGGGGTACCAGAATAGTGAAAAGGTTACTTCTTAAAAGCCTACTTTTAGCTGGACTTGGATGCCTCTCATCTAATGGAACCCTAGACCTACTATTACCTGCTGAAGATTCTAGCCCTAGTGATGAATCTTAAATTTCTAACTGCTTTTTATTTATAAAGAGAAAAAACAAACAATCAGTGCCTGCATTAGTATCACTTCTTAAGCCCAGGATTATAGTCATCAAAGCCAACCTTATCAAACCTGGAATTACAATACTACATACAAAACCCAGTGGGTTAAATGACTCCCCATTCCTGCAGGAAGGGAGAAGTACAGCTGGGCTTACATTTCCTCTCCAGTGAAAGCGCCCACAGCAGTCTGTGGGGCAGGATATCATCAAGGCCAAAGGGTTCTGCAGAAGCAGCCCCAACTCACCCAGAACCACTCTGCAGTCCTCGCCGTCCAAGTGCAGCACCCAGGTGTTGGTGGTCTTCGATCTGTTCTCCATGTACTTCTTAAGGCTTTTCCCATCGATCTCCAGAGTGTACTCATATGCAAAACCACTGACAGCATCTATATTTATGGTGGCTTTAGTTTTTGCAGCTCCAACATAGAAGGTTTCTTTGCCCACCAATTTGAACATCCATTCTTTTCTTATTTCTTCCTAGATAATAATGTGTAAAAGTTTCATAAACGCAAACAGAAAAATTAGTATTTAATTTTTTAAATAATGTAAAAATTAAGACTGTCCAAATGGCAATACTATTTATATTTTTATTATTTCATGTCAAGGTTCCACAAAGTGGTCATCCTAAGTTTAAATGTAGATGTTATAGTCTGCGTATTCTGTAACGACCATATAAATGAAAAACAACCACAGTCAGAAAAAGAAATCCTTACTTTTTAAGAAGCTACACTGACAAAGCCAAGCTTCACTGTCACACTGTACAAAGTCACATGTTTTCCTACCTTCCCATCCACGTACACAACTCGTTTGCCGGATGTGGTCCCGTGCTCAAACTCAATCTTGTGGATTCCATCACTTAATGCAACGTCCCACACAGCTACAAGGTCTGTCATTTTTTCCAGGCTATAAAGAGGGCTAAAGGAATAAAACAAAGCCATTAAATGAGCAAAAACAGTAAGAGAATGACTAAATTCTCCCACCATGACAATACCAGATTTTCAAAGGTCCTAAAATTATAAAATAATAAAGTGATATTTCTTGATATCCCACTCACAGTACATGTAACTGTTTTCTCTCTTTCCCACTGGCTCATCCCTCAAGAGACAACTATGCACAGGTATAGTCTAATAATCCCAAAGTCACCTTAATGCTAATAAGATTAAGACTGAATCCCAGCCAGCACTCTGGGCTAGGCTGGTCTAGCACAGGGAAAGGTCAGTAAAAGTCTCCACTTGATGACCATCTCCACAAAAAAAGTGTTTTTCCTTTTTCAGATCAGACCAATCCCAAACAAAAATTCTTCAAACTTTTCAGAACCAGTGCCTTGGGATTTGTTTTAACATCAACAAAAACAACAAAAAGGCTGTTCTAATTTGGTATTCAAAAACTGTAGTGGAAGAATTTGATACTGATACAGATCATTAGTTTTGAGAAGTAACATGTTCTGCAATAATGGGGTCACAGCTGGCTGCAAATCCAGGGCTCCGACTCCAACACCACTCTCTGTGTTTCCTTCTTTGCTCATTTTAATCTTTGCTCTTACTTTGCATGCTCTAAATAATGTTCAAGTGATTGCATGACTTCTGTGCCAAGAATCAATGGAAGACGATGCCACATATACGGTGGCCACATCCTCATGTAAGTCAGAAAGCAGACTCTGCCTTCTGCAATGACACAGACCATGCCTCCAACAGACACAGAACTCTGCGGACCTATCCTAACAATCCCGGGACTGTCAAAGGCTAGTTTTATTGCAAAACAAAGCATTTACCTTTCATCATCTTCAAAGATAGGACTGTCATCTCCAGATGCCATGGTTAGCAACAGTCTGCAATCCAATTAGCAGCCAGGAAAGAGAAAAGCAGAAAGCAGCAGAGAGAGGTTGGGAGCAACAAAGACAGCTACAAAGGGCTTTTTAAACTTTGCAATCCTTTCAGAAGTTGCCTGCATGCTCCGATGAAGCTACAGTTAAGTACAGCAGAGGGGCAGGCTTTGTTTTCAGAAAGAGTTTGAACACACAAATTAGCCAATTCCACTTTTCTATCTTAAGCATTTATAATTTCTTAAAAATAGGTGTATTAAAACAGGGTAATAAACTCGAGTTTATCTGGAATATTACATCATCTTCGAGCTGCACATTAGAGGCTAAGGCCAGTCCCACTCCCGGGTGTCTCAGCCTGGAGCACAGAAGCCCCGTGGGTGTGCGGCAGTGCTTCAGGGAGTACACCAATGTTAGACAAACAGCTTGGCCCGGTGAATACGGAAACCTCCAAAGCAAACACGACGGCAGCATCAATATTCAGGGTGAAATTTAAAACCCAATTTTATAGTTAGATTTTAGAAAGCGAAAACATAATTTAAACCCGTTTCCTCCAAAGGAATTGTGAATGTGTGTGACGTAGCTAGGGATATGCTGGCCTGCTGTGTGGGAGCAAAGTTTATTTACTTGTTTACACAAGCTAGTAGGTCCACAGTCTGAAGACTCATTCCGTTTATCCGAGAGTCTCACCTAGAAGCAGAGACCAGGACCGGGCAACGAGGGCACTGCTTCGGTGTTGGTTTCACAAGGCGGAAGTGCGTCTACTCTTAGGTGCGCAGCAAACACGGCATGGAGGAGGCTGCAGCGCTAAGGAACTACTCAGAAGCGTGCAGGCACAGGAGGCGCGTATGAGAGAGCTACCGCGAGCAGCCTGCTCCTGCAAAGGAGCAGGGCCTAGCCCAGTTTTTTTTTTTTTAATATTTTTTTTATGGTTTATTGGTGTGAAGGTGTCAGATTCCCTGCAACTGGATCTTCAGACAGTGAGCTACCATGTGGGTGCTGGGAATTGAACCCGGGTCCTCTGGAAGAGCAGTCAGTACTCTTAACCACTGAGCCATCTCTCCAGCCCCGGCCTAGGGCAGTTTTAACACTCTCCTCAACGAGTGCCTTCGCCCCTTGGATGACCAAAGGCGCTCAACAGTGAGAGACTGTCAACCCCTTTTGGAAAAAGTCAGGAGCCACAGATTGCTTTTCCAAGATGTTAGAGAAGAAAGGTTTCTATGCATGGCAACGGAATACAGTCAGGGGTGTGATATAACTGCTGGAGGCAATCACCGAAAATCAGAGAGAAGGAAGGGTTGGCACTCAAGTTTTGCTATTATACAAATTTTAGATTGTTCGCCACTCAAACCTAAAACTGTTGGTGTATTCTGGATTATAAAGAACTCCAAGTACTACTAAGATGCACTAAATAAGGCATGGAGGCTAGGGAGACGGCTCAGGGGTTAAGAACACGTACTGCTCTTCCAGAGATCGCTAGTTCTGTTCCTACCACCCAGGTCGGGCAGCTCACAACCACCTGTAACCAGCACTAGGAGGGTCTGCTGTCTTCTTCAAGACTCTTCGAGGGCACCTGCACTCGAGTGCATGCGGGTGCCCCCCACATACATACGCACATAATTTAAATTTTTTAAAAAGATGACTCACGGAATCACCTTGATTACAACACCTTTTCTAATCCAAGCATAAAAGACACCGAGTCACTGGTGTGATGGAGCACGCTTTTGATCCCAGTACTTGGGAGGCTGAGGCAGGCAGATCTCTGTGAGTTTGGGGCCAGCCTGGTGTACAGGTTGAGTTCTGAGACAGTCAGGGCTATGTAGAGAGATCCTATCTAAAGCAGAAAGAAAGAAAGAAAGAAAGAAAGAAAGAAAGAAAGAAAGAAAGGAAGGAAGGAAGGAAGGAAGGAAGGAAGGAAGGAAGGAAGGAAGGAANAAAGAAAGAAAGAAAGAAAGAAAGGAAGGAAGGAAGGAAGGAAGGAAGGAAGGAAGGAAGGAAGGAAGGAAGGAAGGAAGGAAGGAAGGAAGGAGAGAAAGAAGGAAGGAAAGACACAGTGAGTCTTCCACAGTGAGTTCAAAGGGAAGTTAAAAACCAAGATTATGTTTTATCTAAAACATTCTAAGCTATTAACAGATATTCATACATGTAACAATTATTCATAGATATTTAGAGATTAGTGATTTTAAGCCTGCCAGGGTGGCGCAAACCTTTATTTAATCCCAGCACTCAGGAGGCAGAGGCAGGTGGATCTCAGTGAGTCTGAGGCCAGCCTGGTCTACAAAGTGAGTTCTAGGACAGCCAAGGCTACACAGAAAATCCCTGTCTAGAAAAAACATACACACACAAAAAAAATTGTGATTTTTTTCACTCTCTAATAATTTAGAGTGCACATCTTAGGATTTATATGGGACCATTTATATAAAATGATCAGAGTAAGCAACTACCTGACAAATTATATTTGTGTATATCAAATTGGCAAAACACAAATTCACAAATCAATACAAAACTAATTTCTATGTGTTTTTTCTATAGATATGGTCAAATAAGAAAAAGGCTGCCTTAATGAAAGTCAGCAGCACTTCAGTTTTTCTATGCTATCTGCTGTTTTTAAGCAAAAGACTTAATTTTTTGTTTTTATTATTTTTAAATGTGTATGTGTGTGTGTGCACGCACACACACAGAACTACGAATCCCATGGAGGCCGTAAGAGGATGGCAGGGCCCCTGAACCTGGAGTTACAAACAGGTGGATGTGCACCTCTGAACTCTGGTCTCCTGCCACAGCAGCAGGCCCTCTTAACCACTTGTCATTGCTCCTGAAGGCTCAAAACTCCTCTTTTAAAAGCTGCGGAACCTTTAACAGCATTTGTGGCTTCTGAAAGGCTGTAAAGCTTCGACTCCTGAGACATTTTCAAGGAGCGAGAAACCTTAAAGTGTTTTCTATAGAAGGATTAGACCTTGCCACAACCCAGCCATACAATTTCTGAAAGAAAAGTCACAGTGAAACCCAATGGGCTCACCCCGTCTAGACCCTCTCCCTCACTGTGGGGAAATCGCAGGAAGGAGACACCCCTGTAAGAGACACTCACTGCTTTTCCTAGGTTCTTACTTTAACCTGCTCAACTTTCCCACAAGGCCAAGAGGGCCCTGGGTGTAAAGAAGCTTCTTCCACAGCATCCCATCTCAAAATAATCCTCAGCAACAAATCTCATACAATGTAGAGAACACATTCAGAACAACTCAAGAGTCCTGCCTTTGGGTCACTACAAGTTTCACCAGAACTTCCACTATTCTTATGACCTGTGACCTCACACATCTCATCCCAAGTTCAGCACTTCAAAAGTTCGTTGGAGTTGCTCTCTTGGCCCAACAGTTGTGGGTGTTTGTTTGTTTGTATCACTCTGGCTGTGGGCAATACAGTGCATAGGAAACCTTTCGGTTTCCCCTTTGTTCCGTGCCTGCTTTCAGATCTGAAGTCAGACCCTAATGCCACCACTCGGTCATGCGCCACCATCAGTACCTGCACAGGTCTGCTTTTAACATAAAACCTTACCAAGCAGCCAACAACTCCCAAATGACTAACGACCTGCTAAGCACTCGGACTCCGTGGAGATGATTTTACTAGAAACTGTATTTCCAAACATCCACTCAGTTATTTATGATGACTTCACCAGGCAGTAACTAACACCGCCCACAATGATATTTACTTGAGCACTGGTTGCAATGTAGAGGATTTTATATTCATGTTTACACGCTGTTACAGGTGACAGATTAAATGCCACGTTAGATCGGTTAAACAGCAAAACAACTCACGCTGCCTGTCCCACCGGTGATCTTCCACCTTGAGTAGAGTGTGAATTGGCTGAGTTTCATTAAACTAATTCATTCCATACCTGAGACAGGTTTCCAAGTCAGCCTTCGCAAGGGGGAAACTACAGAATTCTAGGAAGAGACTACAGAATCCCACTCTGGCCGCTGTAAAATAACAGGCTCCTGCATTAAGCAACTCCAGTTGATCGTATTACAACATTAGAAAGGTTCAGAAATAAAAGTATCCCCAATGCCAACCTGCACGAAAGAACTAGCCAGAGCCAGCAAGAATGCTGCAGCGGGCTGCTCACAAGAGCTCCCGTCCACGGAGTACCTACAGCAGGGTTAGCTCGGCCTCGCGCAACCACCGGGAGAAGAGAGGAGTGTGTTCGGTCCACACCTCCCCTGGGTATTTCGGTCACGGCCACACGGGATGCTTCGGAGCCGGAGAACCTCGAATCGCACCGCGAATGCTGCACCTGAGGGTCGGCAGATGCGGGGCTTCCGCATTGACCGGCCCGGCCGCCCCTCACCCACGCCCTCTGGGGCCTCCTGCCTGAGCCCAACGCGGATCGTAATCTGCCACCCGAGGCCTGGGCGCGGCGCACCTCGGAGCCAGTCCGCCCGAACGAACCTCCAGTGCCACCTCCCGCGCTCACCTGCCCGGCGCCCGGCCACGGGCTCCTGATCCCGCTGCGCAGTCAGCCGCTAGCTCCCACGGACTCGCCCTCCCTGCTCCCGCATCCGCGTGCCAGGGTCCCAGCCTCCTATTGCCTTCCGGGCTCACCGAGACACCCGCCCACTGCTCGACTGAGCCTGCGCAAGTGCGAGACCCACCACACACACCCCCTCCAGAGGCCCCACCCATCAACCGCGCGAGAGCCAATACCCGATGTCCGCCTCCCGAGGCCCCGCCTATTCTCCGAACTGGAGCCAATCCCGCTTCTTCTGTGCGCCCCGTTGTGTGCCCCGCAGCCGCTAGGACCTACGGGTGGTAGTGTCTTGGTACTGCCCTCTGCTTGTAGCCTTAGGGATAACCCGCACCTCCTGGTTGGGCAGCTCCTCTGCAGACCCTTTGTTTTCACAGCCCAGCTGGCCTTCCATTCCTGGCAATACGAGCGATCATTTTAGGTGGAAAAGTCCAGCCTCTGGAACACGTCTGTGTTCATCTCGGCGCAACCGCAGATGATGTCTTAGCCCAGAGATTTTTTTGCTTGTCTCCTCTCCCTGTTGTAGTGAAATTTCATAGCCTTTCCTTTAAGTGAGATGCTTGAATTTCTCTTCCTGACAGTCAGACCTTGGGGATAGTGCTCAATGATGGGGCACGTAGCTATCCTGGGTGAGGTCCCTGGGTAACCTGTGTAGCCCTCTCTGGCTGTCCTGGAACCTGGAATCTGTAGACCAGGCTGGCCTTGAATTTACAGAGATCCGCCTGCCTCTGCCTCTCAAGTGTTGGGATTAAAAGAATGTGCCACTATCGCCCTGCTACTTAACTTATTTCTTTTATTTTAAAGATATATATATATATATATTATACGTGTACACACACAAATACTATATTGTCTCGATTGCAATCCAGGGCTATTGTAAAAGCTCAGGCAAACAATTGCATAGTCTGGGGGAAAATCTACAAATAAATCTACAACTAAATATTAGAAAGTAAAGAAAACAAATCAGTTCAGAGATTAAAAAAAAAGCTTGACCAAGCATGGTGGCGCATGCCTTTAAGTCCAGCACTTGGGAGGCAGAGGCAGGAGGATCTCTGTGAGTTCAAGGCCAACCTTGAACTCTCCAAAGTGAGTTTGGTCTACAAAGTGAGTTCCGGAACAGCTAGAACTCTTACACAGAGAAACCCTGTCTAGAAAAACAAACAAAACAAAAAAGGTTGATAAAGATCTTGGTTTGGGAGCGTGTTGTGCTTGTTTGGTTGATATTTAAGAGACTCCCACTGTATAATCAGTAATAGCCTCCTCACATTTGGCTTCCACTGCTTGGATACAGCATCTAGTTAGTACTCAGAAGGTTGAGAAGGCCGATTGCAAGTTCCAGGCTATCCTGAGCTCTATAACTAAACTGTGTTTCAGAAACTAAAGTAGTATGACTTCTGCTTTAGTGAAGCAGAAGTATTAGGCAGATACCCGCATTAAGAACATTAAAGAGCATTATTAGTCTATCTAATATTTTGAAAATTCTGCCTGACATGGCAATACATTTTTAAAGAAAAGAATACAAATGGAACAAATTGAACAAAACAGATGATGGACACATTGCACCCTTTACATAGAAGAGTTTCTGTGAATATGTTTTTTTAATTTATTTATTTATATGTATATAATGTTCTGTCTGCATGTATGTCTGCCCACCAGAAGAGGGCACCAGATCTCATAGATGGTTGTGAGCCACCATGTGGTTGCTGGGTATTGAACTCAGGACCTCTGGAAGAGCAGCCAGTGCTCTTTACCTCTGAGCCATCTCTCCAGCCCCTGGGAATATGTTTTTAAATACCAAATGATGCTTTAAGTTTTTTGGTGAAATATACAAATAGGATATTAAGAGAACAGGAAATATAAATGGTGAATTCAAAAAGAGATTACTATTTCTGATCCCCAGCACTGAAAAAAATTTAATCTTACCACAAACTCAACCAGTTGCAAGTCAAAAACATTTTGTAAGGTCTGAGCAGTTGCTAGCATGAGTGAAACCATTGGTCTAATACTCAACACTACAAAGCATACATTCAGACTCAGTATGCATACGTGTATACACATATATTTTAATTGGACTCAATACATGCAGATTCATTATTCCTGTCTTTCTAATCTACAAATAGAATATGACTATTTATTTATATAGCAATTATGTTAGTTATTTTAAATAATCTAGCAGTGATTAAGTACATGCATGGGATTAGACATATAGGCTCTGTGCAAATGCAGGGACATTATATATGGAATATTAGTGTTTCTGGATTTTTTAAGTGCTGGGGATTAAACCCAGTGCATCACACATGCTAGGCATATGTGCTACCACTGAGTTAAACCTTCAGCCCTCATCCTTAGATTTTGGTACCTACTGGGAATGGCTGGAACTGATTCTCCACAGACAGCGAAGGGATGCTGACTGTCTATAAACTGAGTGACTTAAACAAGAGAAATATATTCCCTCACAGTTTGGGATGCAACAAGTCCCAAGTCAGGGTGTTGGCAGAGTTGGTTGTTTTGGCTGAGAGGGAAGCCCTTCCTGCTGGTTTTACATCTTTGACAGTCCTTAGTTAATAAAGGTATATCCTCGTCTCTGGCTTCATCTGTGTACGTGTGTGCGTGAGTGCGTGTGTGCATGCTCACATGCACGTGTGTGTGTGTTTGTTGCACACGTATGTGAGCCATTTTCTTTTTTATAACATGCAAGTTGAATAGAATTAGAGACCATTTAGATCAGTTAGCGTCTTCATTTTAACTTTGTAAAAACATTCAGGCAACAAAGTCATATTCTGAGGTTCTGTAAATTAGCACTTCAACATATGAATTTGGAGGAGGGAGTAATTTAGCCCATAACATACAGATACAGAGGAAAACTGAAGGCAGAGGCAGAGTTTGGAGCGATGCAGTCACAAGTCAAAGAACAACCAAGGACTGTTGGTGATCATCAAAATAGGCAAAACAGGGAGGAGTTCAGAAGCTTCCGAGGGAGCAGGGCTTGCCAGTGCACCATGTCAGGCCATTAGCCTCTAGAACTGTAAAAGAATGCTTTTCTCCTCCTTCTCCCTTCCTCCTCGTCCCCTCCTCTTCTTCCCCCTCCTCCTTCTCCTTCTTTCTTACTTGTTTTAAGCCACCACTAAGCCTGTGGCGTTCTGTTTCAGTAGCAGTAGGAAACTAGTCCAGCAGGCACCTTGAACTTAAGGGGGGCATGTTGAGCGAATGACTACGCAGCGCATACAACTACAGGCAGAGGAACAGCTGGAGTTGGGAAAGGAAAGGATCCACATCACAAGGAAACCGTTTTTCCTATGAACCATATAGCATCACGTGTTACATCACGTGTTACAGATACTAGTCCCACTCTTACTGGCTGACTAGAAATCACAAGTGGGACAAGGCATCCTTCTTGTTCAAACTTGTTTTGTAACTTTTCCTGGAGTCATATGAACAAATATCCTCTCAGTTCAGGTAGTGGACAAGCCTTGGCCAAAGAACCTAGTCTAGCCATGACTAGCTTGGTGGGCAGATTCGTATATTTTATGGCTTGCGAGGAATTCCACCGAGGCGAAGGGCTTTACGAATCTTATGATTTTCTTCTGAGTTCTTCAAATTTTCCTGAGAGTCTCCTGAGCAACCTCCTATTCTGCCCCCCTCTTCCCTCCATGAGGAATGTTTAAATATGGAGGAGACAACGTCACACCAGGAAAACTGGCCAGACTTCCTAGTGTGTGCCCAAGGCTGTGCCCAGCCATGCAGAGCACAACACACTGTGAACACATGCCCACGGCTGCCAGGGACCTTTTATCCTTCCCACGGGGCCAAGCCACAGCTGCTGCTGTAAGAGATCCTCAGCTAAGCCTCCTGATTAAAAGCATTTGCTTCTCTTTGCCATTGGCCCTTCAGGAGTCCCTACATTTTGTTTATACAAGGAAGCATATAGATTTCAAAGTGTGAAGGCATCTAGACAGCCTTGGTACAGTCTCCCCTGACATTCTCACTGCATCCTGCCATGCCCATTGGGATTTTTTTTTTTTTTTGAGGGGTGGTTCGAGACTGGGTTTCTCTGTAGCTTTGGAGCCTATCCTGGAACTTGCTCTGTAGATATCTTGAACTCATAGACATCTACCTGCCTCCGCCCCCCCTCCCCAATGCTGGGATTAAAGGTGTGCGCCACCATCACTCGGACCATTGGGATTCTTTAAAACAGTCCAAGGTGCCAATAGTTTTTCCTTTGACCTGCTCTCACCATTCCCCCACCCTCCAGACCCACGCCTTAGGGCAACAGAAAAGTGGCAATCAGAGCAGAAAAGCTATACGGTAAAGAAAATCAAAGTTGTTAAGATGAATAACTACACAAAAGGCTATGGCACTAAGCGCTGATGTCACAAGACGGTAGCCCAGGGTTTGAGAGGCTAAGATAGAGGATGATGAGCTCCAGATCAGAGCTGGATCCCTTTCTCAGGACATCTGTCTGGAGTTATGTTTGTCTTAAAAGGCAGGTTGTTCTCACCTCTGCTTTGGAGCTGAAGATGACTTTAAACTCCTGGTCCTACTGCCTCAACCACCCTAGTGCTGGGACTGCAAGGGAGCACCACCCTACTGGGAATCAATATACCTGTTGAAGAATTAATGATTCAACTGATAACATCTACTGTGCATGATGGTTTTTTTATTTGTTTTTTTTTTATTTAAAAAAAAACTTCTTTTGCATTGGTGTTTTGCCTACATGTATGTCTGTGTGAGGATGCCAGATCCCCTGGAACTGGAGTTGCAGACAGTTGTGAGCTGCCATGTGGGTGCTGGGAACTGAACCCAGATCCCCTGGAAAAGCAGTCAGTGCTTAACCACTGAGCCATCTCCCCTGCCATGCAAGATTTTTTAAAAATATTTATTTATTTATTTATTTATTTATTTATTTATTATGTATACAATATTCTGTCTGTATGTATGTCTGCAGGCCAGAAGAGGGCACCAGACCTCATTCCAGATGGTTGTGAGCCACCATGTGGTTGCCGGGAATTGAACTCAGGACCTTTGGAAGAGCAGGCAGTGCTCTTAACCACTGAGCCATCTCCCCTGCCATGCAAGATTTTTT